GACCTCAATTGGATGTGAATTGAACCTGACCATGAGGTGAAAAATGATGGAAGATGAATAAGAAGAGAGTTAACAGAAAGTGGTTAACAATCTTTTAAGTAAATAGAATAGTCAATAAGTTTTGGTATCACCACGACTGTTGCTATTATTTTAAATCATTAAAATGTATACAAGTAGATAGATAAACCTGCACACATCTAGCTTTTCTGTACATGAACATACAGAAAGATACACACGGACACAGACGGTTTACAGACAGAAACGACCAATTGGTACATCAGCTAGTTTATATCTGCTTATTTATATTTTTTCCTCCCATGCAGTGATGAATTACTCCGTAACAAAGTTGAATCCAATCCTTGAACTCTGTATGCTTATCTGTAAATAATTGCATATGGGTCTGTGTCTATGTACGTGTTATTGATAGAGCTCTCGTACTTATTATCTGTTGTTTCAATTTTAGTCATATAAGCGATTAAGATAAATCCAAACACTTGAAGATCAAATGGAAGTCCATGCCAAAAAATAGTCAAAAACGAACTTATCGGACCCTCTGACTCTATTCTTGAGGTGAATCGAAAACAAAGCAACAGTCTGGTTTTTGAAGGAATCCAACTCAAGAATCCATACCCACTAGGTGATCTTGTTGTCGACATGAATGGGAGGGACTTTCGCATCAAAGATCAATTTGAAAATGTCGTTAGGGTTGAAGATGTTCAAAAGCAGTTGGTTCTGAGTTCCTCTGGGGAAGTCGCCAGAAAGAAGATTTTGATGAATGGGCATGGGTTTGGTTCCATGAATGCTCTGAGTAATATTGTGACCGATTCATTTGCGTTTGACATTAGTGGCTCTGTAATTGATCATAGAATTTCACCAGAAGGCAAACAAGTATTCAAGGATGTAAGGAGTCTATGAAGTACTCAATAGGTTTATGGAGAATATGATCTCAGGGGGTTGGCTTGATTGGGCACAAATGTCATGCCACACGGTATCTTTTTGCAAGCAATTTACTTCCAGGTCCGGGTTGCACCACAATCCTGACTCATGCTGACTGAAAATCGGAATAAGAGTGGCATTTTGGTTGATACTTCTGTGGCATTTTGGTTGATACTTCTGCTGAATGCTAGTCTCGTACAAACCGAGATGGTGTTCGTGTTGATTCTTCTAGTCTGGAACTCTGATGCACGTTTAAAGAAGAATGCTGTGTTTAAGATGTTCAAATTTTCACCACTCCTAGCATTGGTGTTAAATCCAATGGTTGCTACTATTGCAGCCATTTATCGTCCTGGCATGATGACTTTGTCAATAGGCACACAGGCTTTACGCAACCCTTTGCAAGCGGTGATTTGGCTAAAGAGCCTACCTGAGAGGATTCTGGCTTTCCAAAGAGCGTGACAATCTTGAGGTTGGTCAAGAAGATTACAGAGCTCAATGGACAGGATATTATTCCAATAGAAAATGCATAATGCTCTAAGGAAAGCTAGTTGTTAAGTTGACCTTGCAACTGAAATTGAATTGAAAAAAAATAAAAAATCAGATATTGGTGCAGAAAAGAAGTGTTCAAGTTGATCACATCAGAGTCGGATTGAGCTTTTAGGGAAATTTTGAATAGGGGAAAAAAAGATTCTCAAGAGGCTTGAGGCTTTCTAGAAACAAAATTGTCAGCTTAAGAAACGATTGGCAAAGAGGAGGAGGAGCTGCAGTTGCAACAAGAGTTCCTTCAGCCCAGGGACAGTCTATAAGCAACACGTATAGCAGAAGACTATATGACAGATCAAGACCATCGAAAGTAGCGTTGATTAGGTGTCAATCAGAGTTGATTATGAGCGACAGTGTCAAAAAATTTCAAAAGATCCCATTCTGAAAAGTTCTCGACGACTTGAGTGAGTTTGAAACATGTATCTTTTAACTCGTCATTTTTAAGCCAAAAAATAACGTTTAGAGCACTTTTTTCTATTTTATCCTGTTGTTTGGGTATTTTTGTAGTATTATTTATTTGTTTAGTTTTTCTAGTAATTTAGGACCTTAAGAGTTTTGTATTTATATTGTGTTGAAAAACTGATTCAGTTACTTGGTTTTATTTTGAATAAATGTAGAGACGATTTCTCTTTTCTCCCCAATTGATTTGGTATTCTTTGTAAATCAACAAAGTTTTTGAATGCTTTAATTTGGTATTATTGTGATAACCAATAAATTATAGTTTTTGTTATTTAATCTCGTTTATTTATTCATACTACTCTACATTAGTCCAAAGGCAGCTGAGGTGCAAAATTCTTTTATATAGATACTATAATCCTATTACAACATATGTCCTTTATATAATTACATACACTTGGATTTATGATTGCCATTTGGCTCTCTATTTGCAGAATTTCTGAGAATCTATTTTCAACCAAATTATGACACTTATCCAAAAAATTTCGATGTACAACAGTTATTTAGGGGATTTCATAACATTTCCGATTGGTTGTCTTGTATTCCAAGTGAGTTGTTCAACAGTTGGCATGTTGAATCATATCCATTATATGATGGATTGGTTTAAATCAATTGATTGCTCTGTTGGTCTTTGAAATATGATTGTTGCAACTGTGGTCCAAAAGAGAGGCTTGTACAAAAGCTACAAGAAAAATGGTGTCTTAAGAATGTTTCTCAAATACTAACATGCAGGATCCATAGATCCAAGAAGATCTGTGATGTGAGATTTTCCCCAGATATGTTAGAGATGAAGCAGACATACCCAAATTAGATTACTGGAATAGTGTTGTTCACAAGCCTACATAGCATTTTGTGACTGGTTGGTGATATATATATATGTATTCACGTTTTAGACCCTTTACAAGCTTCTTGAATCGAACAAATTACTTGTCAATACATTTGAACTAGCGACAACCCCATGCGATGTATGGATTGGTAACAGGGATAAGCTGATATCTTAAGTTCGAATTTTGACAATCTTTGAGGATAGACAATGAGAGATTTATCCCTAATGAATATCTTAATCCTGGCATAGATGGTCTGCCTTGAACAGAGAGTGAATTAGTCGAGGTGTGCGTAAACTAGCCTGAAAGGATGGGAATAGCCTTCGGGCTTACCAGTTATCATATACATGCGGTTAAGGCTACCCGCTTCTGTGGATATCTAACCCATTTTTTTGCTCTTTTCCACCATTACTAAGGGAGGGTTGTTGCCTTGCTGGTTTTAGAATCTCACCAGAATGGTGTTTCACTATTTCCTCAGCAAAATCTGTTTTTTTTTTCCATTTAGCTGTGATTATGCTTATTGATCCAAAAAATAAAAAATAAAAAAATGGAGTAATTTTGATTGATGATGATCATTCTGAGAAAAATAATGATCCTGCCATATTTGATTTTCCACTTTTGATTACCTTTGTCTGACCATTGTTAATCTAGTTGTTCAAATGAAAAAAAAAAACAGAAGCAGGTTGGAAGGATCAATCCTGCTTGAATTGTTTGGTTTAAGGTTCACTCGACACGAATACGATACGAAATTAGAGGGCTTTGATCTTTTGTAAGTAACGCGTTTTATAAATGAAAGAACTCGACCTGATATGATTAATAAACGAATTGAGTATGAGTGCAGTTAATCAAATACACTAGTCATTAGACACGGACTAATAAACGAATCGGGTACGGGTGAAATAGTTTTTGACATGAATCCTTTAAGATCCTACACAAACTCACTACACTTGACATGATTGACAGACCTAGATAGAAGGCAAAATCAAGTTGCACAATGAATGCCATCAGGGTGAGGATAAACCCTGCTTATGGTGATACAATGGGCTGTAAATATCCATGTTGAAATATAAATAATTAAGTTATATAATTTCTAACAACTTTTAGAGTAGATGATGATTTTACATGGTATCGGAGCGGAGTAAATCGTGGTATAACAGATCAAACTTTTTCTTTATATGAGCATGAATATTTGGTCATCTTTTTGTATACTGCTCTTTTCCCAACTCATATGCTAAAAAATTCAGTTTGGTCTTCAAGATTCTCTTAAATTTCATGATGGTTGCAGCCAAAAATTGGAGAGAAGCATGAGATCATAGTCCCTGTGACTCATTCTCTTTGATTTATCATATTTAAAAAAAAAAAAGGTGAATTCAGTGCACAAAACTCTCGTCATTACGGAATTTAAGGATCTTTTGATTTATCATATGTAGTTTGAAATTTCCCACAATAGTTAACTTTTTTCCATGCAATTTTTCCATTTGTAAGCCTCTCTATTATCTCTTGACTCACACCAATAAGACTCGCAATGTGATCAATTACACCAATCTTTCACTTTTTTTTTTTTTTGCTTAAACTGCCCTTTGTCAAAACTGCTACTTCTTTAAGAACTAGTTTTCCCAGTGAATTAAACAAGTACCAAACAGAAAATTTATTGCTCAACTGGCTTACATTAGTCATGTTAGTACTATTCTTATATGAAAAACTGAGGCAAGTGTGAAGAATCAGCTTCTATCAAGGTTGATGGCTTGTGGAAACCAGGTGATAAATGGGCTAGCATAGGGTGGTTGTGCAGCGTGTATGGTTTGGTTTGAGTTCAGATGGCCCTATCAAATTAAATGATGGATGCCATCCACGCTGAGGCTACAAGAATAGCCCGACTTGGCCACAAAAAGATAGGCAGAGTGGTAAGGCTATGGTACGACACATTAAGGAGAGAGAAGTGAGTTAATTGCGATGAGAGCCCGGACGAGTCCCTTGTGTGATAGTCTAACCCATATTAAGTATATAGTTATCTTCCGATTAGGGTTCCAAACCCGTCCTATCCCTTGAAGCCCCATAGGCGTTGCTTTGAATTGTAGAAAATTACGAAATATATTATCCCCTTAAATCTTGATCGTGTCTTATTCAAATGTCGAGCTTAAAATAACCAAGTCATTGTTAGCAATCAGCTCTTATCCCTACATGCATTATGAGACATAGGATTAGGTTAGTGGTTGCCATATTCCATTCTTTAGCAACACACTTATTAGAGCTTTGACTGTGTTGATATGAAAAAATCAGCAGCCTAGTCAAGTGACAGTAAACACTCGTTTTCCGGGACTTGATTTTCCTTTTAGTCGAAATAGATATTAAGACAACGCAACCAATTTCTTGGCGATTACACTACTGAGATTCATATGATTGCCACTACTGAGCAAATGTAGACAGAATTTGAAAGCAAGGTATTCATCATCAAGGCGAAAGATGGGAAAATCCATGTGTTCCTTATTTTCTGCTTATACTGTTTTTGAAGAAACTCTTCTTATTCTTCCCAAGCAGTAATCTTTAGGCCTCGGGTGAGGTAAGTACATTAAGGGGCACTCAGAATCAAACTGTTCAAACCTGTAAAATGAAAAAATTATGAATTACACTGCTGTTCTTGAGTAATATCAGTGCAAATAATATGAAGAAAAGGGAAATTAGACACGAAAGAGATATAACTCACTTGTAATTGAGGAGAAAATGATGAAGAAAAATAGAGATTTCTAGCTTGGGAAGTTCATTTCCGGGGCACATTCTGCTACCTGCTCCGAAAGGGAGGTAAGTTCCTGCTTTGGGTGTAAGCTCCTACGTTCAACATTAAGCATATTAGCATCTAAGAATGATTGGATTTTTATTTTTTTTTGATAGATTGGAACAAGTTAACAAAGGCAGCAGATGTCACTGTAGCCAATATCGGAGACGTCAATCTGAATAATTTTGAAAGAATTGACTGAGGGAATACTAAGACAAGTAAGGTCTTGATAAATTGTTTGACTTATTTAACGATGGAAGTACAAACTGGTGACCAAGGAGGAGAATTATCTCGTAATCTCTCATACAATAGCTTAACTGTTTTTCTGAGATCTTTGTAGAAATCTGAAACAAAGTTCAGGGATTCTAGGAACCTTTGTTAGTGAGTTTTGTCTCTTATTTCATCTGAGAACTTATCAACAAACTGGATAAATTTGCTGATAGGAATAATGGTCAACTGCTAGATGTTATATCCAAGAAATCTAATTGAAGTTTGAAATAATTTGATTTTATAAAAATATTTATCTATTTTGTAAGAACATATAAAATAACTTGATTTTATAAAAACATGTATATATATGGTTGTGTTGAACTTACATCCCATCTGGAAGGATTAAACTCCTTTGGGTCGGGATAAATTGTAGGATCCAAGTGAACACTCCTAAACCAGGTCATAACTTTCCATCCCTTGGGAATCAGATACCCTGAAAAACATGATCTTTGAGTTAATTTTCTTAATATGAATTAATTAGTACATTTTTAACACATAATTCAAGGTTAAGACACCACATTTTAGTAAAATATGTATCAGTAGAATCCAAAAGAAAGAAAAAATATAGAATTAATCTTGTTGGACAGTTCACTAGAATTGTTTGAGAGTAAAAGGATACACAAACTGAGTGTAGAGTTGTGTATATATAATCAAATGAGAGGTATAAGTGACCAAAAAGCTCCTCTGGTCTAGGTGAGACATAAAATTCACGATAAGGACAAAAGAAAAAAAGAGAAAAACTAATAAACTAAAGTATAATTTCAATACTCCACCTCAAGCTGGCTGGGCCGCGGTGGTTGGGCTGTAGAGGCTTGGGGCTGAAGGTGTGTCAAGGGACAGCGGCTAGGGTTAGGGTTAGGGAAGGCTAGGGTGGGTAGGGTTTGGTTCTAATACTTAATTAGAATTGTTTGAGAGAAAATGGATACACAAACTCAATGCAAAGTCCTGTATATATAGCCAAATAAGAGATATAAGTGATCAGAATACCCTTTTGATTTGAGTAAGACATAAAATTCATAGTAAGAACAAAAAAAAAAAAAATTAATAAACTAGACAATATTTCCGGCAAGTTCAAAATTGTTGAATCATGAGCTCATTCCCACTTCGATCCACTTGCAGCAAATTATCTTGTTTGGAAACAAACAACATTCGAATGAAAATCTGTATTTCATCAAACAAAAATGTTGTAAAAAGTGCATAAACACATCCGAAAACATCCTAGTTGAACTGAACAGAGAGGTATCTGAAATGAAAGCTATGGACTATAAACTGACCACTTATATTGACATCTGTTTTAGCCTCTCGGAAGACCACAAATGAGAAAGTCAATAAACGAAGTGTTTCATCGATCACCTACAAATATTCAAGAAAAAAAAGGTTTTGATCAGTACTTTTTGAATGAGAACAGATATACATTAGAAGCTACATATAATGTCACAAACCTGGGACAGGTACTTCATTTGTCGAACCTCCTTCAGTGTCAAACCATTCTGTGTAGGTGGTCTGTTCTTTATGATTTCCTCTTGTTCTTCCTAGAATATTGTCCATCACATATTTAGAAAATTGGGTTTAAACCTTGGGAGGAAAAAAGACAGGAAAACCTTGGGCCTTTGAATCAATGAAACCAAGGAAAAATCTCACAAATTTTCAAGAATTTATAGTTAAAATGAAAAACTAAGGCCTGATATGGCCGAATTGCCAAATTCGAATCCAGGAGGAGGAGAGAAAAAACAGTTTTCATTCAGGTTTATGGCTATGGTTAAAGAACAATAAACCTCGATTCAAATTTCAGAAGCATGAACTTAACGAGGCCAAAATGAATACGAATAGTCGAATGAAGGAGTAGATGTTGTCACGGGCATAAGCTAAATTTCAATACCTTAGCTCTTCGGAAGAATTCAGGGTGCTTCTGTAGGAAAATAGTAGTCCACATTGTTATGTGTCCAGAAGATTCATGACCAGCATTCAAGTACATTACAAGAACATCTATGATTTCCTCATCATCCAATTTTCTACCATTCTCATCTTCAACATCCATCAAAGCATCCATCATGTCTCTTCCCGATGTTGGTGGATTCTTCCTTCTATGCTCCCTTCGCTCATCCACTATGGATTGAAAAATCGCCACCATTTTTCTCCGTGCCTGAAACTTAGATAGTTATTGATGGACTATCAACTGTATGTTCATGAAGTAGCTGAAGAAATTCATGCTTCTTGCAAAAACTTTTCATATGTTTCTCGAATGCCTTATACAAAACTAGCTTTTACAAACTACATTAATTAAAACACGAAAAATCCTACATCCTGTATAGTTGTATTTGATTCCTTGGGAACTATCTTGCCAAAGGAACATAAGGTACCATTTGTTTGCTCATGAAAACAACTACTTACTCCTCATGGTTTTCATGTTTACGTGTTTTAACAGATAAAAAAAGGGCATATCCAATGCAAGGAGTGTTAGATATATACAGTTTTATCCTGCAAGTTGAGAACTGTTGCGCCAAGACCCGAGTTTTAAAGAGAGAATTTTGCCAAAATATACTTCTTGGAAAACCATCAGAGATGTTTCTATAAGATTGGAACTCTTAGATTGAGCTTGAAAGATGGAAAAAAACATAAATAAAGAGACATAAAATGTGCAAATTCTAACCTTGAGGGCTTTATGGTAAGCAAATCCGGGGATATTAATCTCCATGGCTCTAATTCCATAATTAAGAGCTGTGTACTCTCTCTCCAAAGCTTCCATCACCTGCTTACTCTCTGAGCTTAGGAAAATGTGCATGATTATCGTAAACGTAAGCTTTCGAAGTTCAGTTAAGAACTCTACTTGTCCCAAGCTTGCCCATTTATCCAAGTCTGATACTACATTATCTTCAATGTACCCCATATACATGGACAATGCCTCATGACCATTAACCGGTGCAGCTGTTAATCGACGCAGCCTCTTATGTTCATCAGATGAAATGCCGACGAATGACTTCTTCCCAATGAGGTTCAATGTGGAAGTAGGCCAGCCTGGTCTGAACGATTCGTCGTCTGATAAAACTCTCCGGCATGCCTCAGGTACTGTTACTATGATACTTGGACTCCCAAACATGAAGGTCTTGTACATTCCAGTGTGTCCAAATCTGCATTACATGTATGAGTACTTTTGAGTTTTCCAATAGCAAAATTTCATGCAATGTGTCTAAATTTCATCCCTAAGTATAAACACTCTAAATGACTCCATACATACAAAACTGTGATTTAAGTGGATCCCATTATTATTCAACGATAGAGATTATATCATATTATTTGGGATGATAAAAAAATTTGATAAATATAACATTACTTATTGATACATGTATCTCAAGTTTACGTATCAACCACGAAACTGAAGTCATAGGTTTTTTATCCTTGTCAATACTAAACCATACTTTGCTTGTAGGCTAAGCTGGATAGAAGCTGGTATGGGGAATTTTGGTAACAACGTGCAAGAATCTGCCACACACACACACTCTGAGAGAGAGAGAGAAAGATCACCTGACAACAAAGCTGGAGATGAAAGAGTCAGGGTCAGTGGACTTGAAAGCTCTAAGGAAGGACCACATATTGCCAATGAAAGGCCAACCCAAATCACCTGGAGGCAGAGAGAACCTCTTGTCAGCCAACTTGGTTTCATAGAGCCACAAGTTCACACTTCGAAGTACCCACTTCAGAGCCACCACACCACCAAAAATGGCCACAAACACCACCCAAGTGAAGCCCAACTCCATCATGGCCACCAAAAATGGCCACAAACTCCACCAAATAAGATTGTTTGATTGAGAGAGAGAGAGAGAGAGAGAGAGAGAAACTCACATCCCTCTCATGGGTTTCTTTCTAATTGTCATGTAAGAGTGTATATGCATGTGTATGTTTATACAGAGAACGAAGAGGACAGAGAGAGCTTTGCCTATATCTGCTTGTCTTGTCGTACTGTCTTTCTATTTGATTCTCTTTAGAGATGGGAATCATTTCTGATTACATATCTGAATTATGGGGTCAAATTTGAAGTTAAACGAGATGTCAATTGATTATTTGAAATTTTTATTAGGGTTCAAATGATATAATATCAACTGTATGTTATTTAGACTTTAAATTTAATCTAAAAATTTGGTCAATCTAACATTACCTGTACCTTTAATACTTGGGGTTGGGGGCAGTTTGGTGTTAAAAAATTGTGTTGGCACTCTTCTTCTCTCTCTCTCTCTCTCCCTCTCCCTCTCCCTCTATCCAATCTGTCACACACACATATTAACAAAGAAATTGGTTCAAATATATGTTTAAATTTAAATTTGAGTTAAAATGGCTTTAAAAATTTCTCTAATTTTAAACTCAAACTTATACTAAATAAAGACAAAACTTATTTTGAACTCAAATTGAAATAGACTCAAATTCTATACTAAAATTATAACGATAAATTTTTAACCTATCCAAAACTAAAAGACTTCTTCGATAACTTGTTCTCTGTTTTTTCTTGCCTCTTTCTAATACATTGCTTCTATTGTCGATCACCACTTAAATTTTCACAAATCATTCAAAAGTTTGTAGGTAAATTTTTTTCTTGTCATCTTCTATCTTTTTGATTTCTTATATTTTTCAAAATTATAATCTCAACCATTTTTCATATTATATAAACTCAAAGTCTACCCATCAAATTTTTCTTTGATTTTGTTAAGTTAAATATTATCGGTAGTACAATTTCAGGCCATCAATTCTTTCTAAAATTTTAAGCCTTCATTATCCACAAATTTAAAAAATTCGTCATTTATTTCTTTAATTTTTAATTTTTGTTAAAAATGTATGTTTTTTTGTTCTTGACCCCCGTTAAAATAGTTATATTTTTTATTTTTCTTTATCTGAATTTATAAAAAATAAGAAGAGATTTTATTTTGAATCCATTGACTTAAATTTTTGGCTAAGGTACACTTAAATCCCTGGATATTTAATTTTATTATACAGACACCCTGTCACAATTCAAAAATTACACTGAAAGTCTGAAACCCTATTACATGATCGTCGTTAACAGCATAAATAAAAAGATCATTTTATCCTCAAATTAACTACCGATCCACACCCAGAACCATGACCATAACCAGACCCAAGACCTCTCTCTCTCTCTATACTAAATTAATGTCCACTTGAAGTATTTTATCTTTCTTAGGTAAAGCTTAGTTGACACTCCACCTCTAGAGTATCCTTGAAATATAGTTTTTTTATTTCTTTGAAATCTTTTTTTTTTCAGTGATTATTTTGAAGCCATTTTTTTTTTAATGAAAAGCTTATCTAGGAGAATCTTAATTTAATGTGTAACAACTAAATTAATGACTTGATTCAATGTGTAACAACTAAATTAATGTCTTGATTTAATGTGTAACAAAACTAAATTAATGTCCACTTGAAAGTATTTTTATCTTTCTTAGGTAAACCTTAGTTGGCACTCCACCTCTAGGGTATCCTTGAAATATAGTTCTTTATTTCTTTGAAATCTTTTTTTTTTTGAGTGATTATTTTGAACCCATTGGCTAAATTACACGGATACCCCATCACGATTCAAAAAATACATTTAAATCCCATTAAATGAATGTCGTTAATGGCATAAACAAAAAGGCTACTTCAAATTAACTACTGATCCACACCCAGAACCATGACCATACCCAAGACCCAAGACCCAAGACCCAAGGCCCTTCCTCCCCCAAAACACAAATATGTACACGTGGTTCAATACCCCGTATATATGTCAACAAATGAAAAAGACTACATCGATATATTATTCTCTTGGGGGCTGATGTGGGTATGGACCCGCAAGTTTGTAATTTGTCATAGATTGTGGATTGGAGCGATAACAAATGTTTATTTTGATTGAACAATATGCATGAGTATGAGAAAGATAAGCAACATATAGACCTCAGAGGGTCTTGGCCCCTTAATTTTTGGGAAATCGTCTCGACCCTTCAACTTTTATGTCGTTCTCGAAGATTATTGTGTCCCCCCCCCCCCTCCCTTCAAGCATTGATATTTTGACTTTAATTCCTTGGATGTCAAAATATGATACTATCCGTTAATAAAACATGAAATTAGAGAGTTTTGGTCTTTCTTAGGCTACCCATTTCATAAACGAGTAGATCGAACATGACATGATTAATAAATGAATCGGGTATGAATGAAATTAATCAAAAGAAATACACGACACGATTCGTTCATACACTAATTATACATGATACACACCTGATATGATATGATTCGTTATACACGAATCAAGAAATGAATCGGGTATGGAGAGAGTACTTTTTGCACGAACCTGCTAAGAACCGACATGAATTCACTTCACCTAATACGATTGACAGACTTAATTATCTAATAGTGTCAATTTTCTTATTCTGACATGAATCTCCCAATTTGAATGTCTAAATATATATATGCTCGAATGCGATGATTCTTCTTAGTTTCATGATTGTTAATCTACAATTGAATTAATTGAGGGAGAAGGTAGGATTGGAGAATGAAGATACACAAATTGTACATCATAAAGACAAATCATACTCGTGAGGCCTTGACAATACCAATATACCATGCCCTATGTTTCCCAAATTCAGATCTTGAGTTTGATTTATGTTGGTCTCACACCAAGTGATTGTGATTGGAATAGCTATCTAAACCCCACAAATGTATTAGCTTTTTCCATACACGAGAGCCTTCCAAAATGCTTGTTGTCTTTTTTTTTTTTTTAAGTTCAATAGTGTGGAGGTATTCAGACCAGTTTATGTGTACCTCGACTGATTTCTTCCTCGGTCCAGTCAAAGGCTGGTCATCTACTTTAGGACTAGGGTATTCATGAGGAATAAATCCCTCTTGGCGTAACCCCAAAGAGTTACCAAGATTCAAACTCATGACGTCTGAATTTATAACTTATCATTGTTATCACTTGAACTACTCTTTAAAATTATTTATAGTCTTTGTGTAGCTATTTTGTGGCCATATTTCTAACATACACGACATTTACTTGTATGACATTTTAACGGGTTATACGTCTAATTAGTGGTAAATTTTTTGGGAGAGCGGCAATGGGTTCATTGATTAAAACTTCATGAAATCATCATTATCAATTGAATTGTGTCGCGTTTAAGCTATCTCATTTTGATATTTTCAATCAATAAAATATAAAAATTTTACATATAACGCGTTTTTACTAAATAAAAAGTGAATAATACAATATCGAAAAGTAATATTTCAGTGCTATATTGGAACTCGTTCAAATGTTCAAAGGTACGCTCTCAAGTCTCAACTAAGAGCCTTTTACAAGTACTCTTATATTAGACATCTTTTGCATGACATTTAATATCCCTCTAAAGTTTAGCAATAGCTTCCAGACTTCCTATTCACTATCGGTGAATTGTAGCAATCATGTGTCTTTTAAACTTATGATAGTAGAATCAACCTTGGATGCATACAATCATTCACAAACCACGTGTACTGGTTAGTAAAATTCAAACTCAAAACGTGTGTTTGTTAACGTCTTGTTCAACTATTGACGTAACTCATTCAAATTTATTTCAAGTTACTCAGTCTTGAGAAATCAACTGTACACAAATTCGAAACCATTTGCACCTAACCATCCCAAAACATTGAAAAAAAAAACACAAATCACATGCATTTAATTTATGTATGCCATCAGGATCAATAGACAGCCATCAAGAAAAGCTTTGCATGCTATAGTTCATATCTGCATTACCGATTATTTCTACACTTTTAAATTCAATTATTCCTCGATCTCACTTCGCCTCTTAAGCTATTCAATTTCTTGCATTACCCCCCCCCCCCCCCCCCCAACTATGGTTATTGATTTCACACTGTCCTAAAAACAAACGTCTGTTATAGTTGAAGGTGCAATTTGAGTAACACAATAATTGAGGGGTAATGTAAGACGAGTACCATGATTGAGGAGGTCAAAGTGTAATTTGTCCTCGGAGTGATTAAACTTTTGTTTGGTATCTCTAAAACACTCCCAAGAGGGAGAGAATGCCTAACTATCAAAATATCTGGGCTCAAAATAGGGGTGGAGATAAGATGAAAAGAAGAATTTGATAGAGCTTCTGATATCAGAAGAGCTTATCTGGGAAATGCTATCAAATTGATTTGAGGATAGTTGTTTGGCCTGTTCCCAACCGAAACAACCGACCCTGCTAGAGGTATAGAACAAATGAATCAATTTTGATGCTGAAGTACAGTTAAAAGTTCAATAAAATCTCTGCATAAAACAATCACCAACAAATGTCGATGTATGCAACATGTGAAAAAGCAACAGTATGTAATAGAATCTAAAGAACCTGAAGCAGGCATAGGTGTGCAACTCGGACGGGTTGGGCGGGTTAGACAGTCAACCCTAGTCTAACCCTAATCCAACCTTAGGTATATAATCTTCAACCCTAACCCTAACCCTAACTCTTACCCTACCTCGGATTGAGGAACTCAATCCGAACACTGTCCGAGTTTAATTCGGACGGGCTCGGGTTGAATTCGGGTTCACTGCAAGAGAGACAGAGAAAGAGGGGAATAATTACAAATTTATAAAATAATCCATATATTTCATTCATAACAGTGCACGACTCCAAAAAGCTAATGATCTCAAAGCACAATCCCATAAAACATAGAAATTAGACTCATAAAAACATTAAATTAAAACATCACACTATCATTATTAATCACGCATAATAGAGTAGCAAGCAACAAGAAACAGAGGACGATGGAGTAAAAATGAAAAAAAGTGCTAATGTTATAAATATAATTTTTTTTAATTTGTCGGGTTCGGGATGCCTCAACCCGAGCCCGGCCCAAATTGAATTCAGGTTGGAGTTTTTTGACTCAAACCCAATCCAAGTATTAAAAATCATAACCAAGCCTTAATTTTTTCGGGTTGGGCTTGAATTGCCCAACCCAAGTTGCACCCCTAAGCAGGCATACCAACAAAAGGTAGTCTCAGAGAATAATATAAAGGTAAAAATTTTATTTAATCCCCTCAACTATACTCTTATCTCCCATTACCCTTCAACTATTATGCTTCTCACAAATCCTCCAACTGTGGTTACAAATTGGATGGAAAGTCAGGTCATCCTGCCCCCAAAATAAGTGATTTTGTTTCAGTTTCGTCCCAAAATCTAATAACACATTGACAATTTCCATCTAAAACATAACAGACATTTGGTTTCAGAATAATGTGAAACCAAATCAAGTAGTTGACGAGGCAACATGAGTCAAAGGTGAAGTGAGATTCTACAACTTAAGAAGGCAAAGTATAATTAATTCTCATGTAAAAGACCACCTTGCCTTCTTCAATGATGAACAAGCTGGTGCTTTGAAATCTGCCATAAACATCTTGAGGGCTTTTTTTTATGTCATTGTAGGTGCAGTTTGCAAAAAGGGTATGCAATCAAAATAACCAAGTCTTCTTCAATCAATAACAACTAGGCGCTTCATAATCTAACATGGCACCTTAGCTTCTGTTATCACATATGGTGCTGTGTGCAGGTGGTCATACTATCAAGATCAAATTGTCCTATTGTGCTTTATAGTACACCTGAAACAAGAATCCAGTTACTATTAACAGGTTTCTTACCACTGATCTTGTTTTCTCTTTGTTTTTTACTTTCTAAAGAAGGATACAGTGTGCACAAGATCATGCTATCAAGATAATATCTGGAAAAAGAAACCTTGTTATAAATAGGTTTAAACAACAGTAAAGGTGAACAAAAGACTTGTAGTCTAGTACACACGATGTAACGAATATAAGGTTTAATGTACGTTACGTAAAGAAAATGAAAACGAAAACGAAATTGGATGTTTGAGTTTTTCTTTCGGATTCACACCCTTTCAGAATAAAAAGACATGCATGTTTTAAGTCCAAAAGCATACAAAAGTACATTTTAGTGATTTATAATGAACTATATTTTATCGTAACATGATTTTGATATGTTAACTAAACTTACTTTTAGTGAATTATAATGAATTTCACTGTATCATACATGTAGATTCCCGGATTTCCAGCAAGAAGTGTAAGTGGTTCGGCATTTCTGCCGAACGAAGTTGTAGTTGGTTGATTATAGTGTACACAGTAAAGTACATCTAACTCTTTGAGATTTGTCAATAAACCACACAGATCCCCTCCTAGGGTATGAAAAAGAACACCATCTTCCCCTGAGTTTGGTTTGTTGTAACACATGATCCCCTTGATATTAAAATTCGTTCAAGATGCCATTCTATCTCACAACATATTTCCATCAAAAAAATCCCAAAATACCCACCCATCATATTATAACTAAAATCCCATAAAAGCCCAACAATTCTATCAAACCTTCACAAACCCAATTTTTTTTTAAAATGCCTCAGTCCTCAGCTAGCAATGCACACCAACTATTACCAGCCCCACCACCACCCATTCTACTGCAACACACTGTCCCCCATCCCCCACCATCCCAACATGCTGTCCCAAGTACCCACCCACCCACACCTACCTTGCTAAAAAACTCCCATGAAACCCACCACCACGGCACCCATCTTCTTCCTCTCTCTATGCCTCCCTCCTCTCTCTTGCGCTCTTCACAAACACACTTGCCAGAAGCAGACACATATAGCAGAACTCACATATGCACACACAAATTATGAAATGAACTTGTACAGTAATCATACTTTTTTGTAAATATTGCCAATTAAATAGCTACATGGAGTTAAAAACACTTTAAAGGACAACTATGAAATCTAAACCTCAAGTTCTGTTGATATCAGCTCAAAGGGGATTTTTTGTCACGATTTACCAAACTCAATGGTCTCTAGGTCATTTTGTAAATGTCAACAGATGCATGCAGTATTTAACCCAAACTCACAAGTGTTGACATAAATAGCCACAAGAATTCCATACTTGGCAAGAAGGATTAGACAGATATATATGCAATTCGTCCCCCAACATATTTGATTAACAAGATCCAAACTGGATAACCTGCTGCTATTAGCAAAAAACGATGACTAACCCAAGATATATGAGGTAAGTCACTTGTTCCACACATTACTTCAATAAACCAGCACAAAGTACTCGGCAACATAAACAACCAATACTTGCCAAACGCCAACATATACACCGCTTGCAGCTTGTAGATGAATCATGGTTTTTACTTCCTGTTTGGATTGTTGGATTATGGGTTCTACACTTCTACTTATTCCAGCCCAGTCCAATCCAAAGCACAAATCTCCTTTCCAGTCAGCCAAGAATTACAAATTTAAACTAGACTATTTCGTCGAGTCACTCAAAAAAGAAGAAACATATATGATACCTTTGACCATTACCTGTTCAAAGGGAATAAATGCATCAAGAGAAAACAGAATACAAAAACCAACTTCCATTTAATTAAACTCTGAAAGTGGTGATTGCAAACATCTGTACGTGTGTGCCATTATTGTAATGTTGATCTCAAGTAAAGCATAAAAAGCATAGTAAAGCATATAGAGCACTAACTACAGGAACACCACGGGTTCATGGAATCAGAAACTCTACAGCTCTAATTCACAACAGGCCACGAGGAAGTATTATACATATTAGTTACAACACAAAACCTGCTGTCCAGGCTAACCCTTAAGTTCTCCGGGCCGAACCGATAGGGCTTTGATGTCTGGTGACGGTTGATAGGATATTGAGATCAGCTTAGACCTATACTTCTCATCGCCATCGCCATTTATACCTTCAACCACATTTGCAATGTTTGAATCTTCGGGTGAATGTCCCAAGGCAAGATCCTTCCCGGCCACAGGGTAAGAGATGGCTATTAGTGACTCCCGAGTCATGTCCTCTGAAGCGTCCTTGCCAGGTTCTTCCTTATCCATAAAATGGAAATCTTCTTCCTGTGGATGTCACAAAGATCAAATTGGAAAGATATCGAGATAGAATACAAGCAGGCAAACATATAGATACACCCCGTGTGCCATAAGAATCCAAGCATTCAATCAAGCATCAGTTTAATTCAGTCTGGAGTCATTCGACATGCATTTAATTCACACTTTATTGGTTTTCTGTTTCACTGGACTCGTGTTTAGAAGGGTCAACAATGAAATCAATATGGAACAGACAGCAATCCAGCTACTTTTTTGAATTCTTCAATCAATCTTCTTGTTCAGTCCATAACAACAACATTAACCAGTAAATCAGGGTTCAATTTCTGAGTAGTTCCTTTATTCACACAACAAATGACATCCAGCAACAACATTAGAGATTGTATCTAAAGGTTTAACAGCAGACTATAGAATCACAACAATGAGATCCTAAGATTTGTCCCAAGGTTGAGGACGACTTTCTCATAGCTATTAAGTAATTAAAAGATGGCTCTTCTAGCCAAAGAAAAGAACATGTGACATGCTATATAGCAGATTCTAAGTAGCAATATCTAGAATTCGAGATTTGGACGTGTCCGAGTTTAATAAGATACATGTTTAGTGATTGCGCTGAGTTTAAGAGCCATTTTCTTCTCCAGCCCAAGTTTCTTTGAAAAACTATCCATTGCAGGACTTTCTCCGACAAACAAAAGAGATATTTGTCCAAGCAAATTTTATTTTAAGCCAAGAAAGATATGGTATATCATACTTCCGGAAATACTAAGTTACCCAAAATGCTTTCTGGCACACACATGTACCCTCCTACTCCTCTTGGGAATAATACAAATGCGCGGTGCCAATATGATCTTCAACAACATTTATTCCATTCCTTCTCTCATTTCCATTTTATCTTAGTTTAGAAAAGAGAGATTAAAAACTAAAGCACATGATTCTCTGCAACTACGGGGCAAAAGCGCATATCAATCCACTATGTCACCCCACGACCAGCATAGGAACTATATGAAGCACTTGACTCGGCATAATATAAGCAACATAAGGAAATTCATCATATCTTTCAATCCTCCCATCTTAAAAGTCAAAGAGATAATTTGCATTTTGACTTCTCCCAACATGAATTAATCCGACTCGCCAAAAATTCCTTCCTCGTGAACCACTAATAGCTCTTGTAAAAAAGCAGTGGTGAATATATCCAAACATAGGGCTAAGCTCCATGAAACTCTTGCAAAATGACCAGCACTTCCTCTTAGAACTTCCCAACAGCCAAGTATTGGATATTAGGTAGAAAACATCTTTAAATTGATGTAGCACTATAGGAATTGCAATCAAAATGATTAATCTTTTGTAAAACCCGGGAAAATTTAAAATTTTATTGTGAAGGGTAAAATGGTGATTAGCCGTTACGATACAAGTCGAGAACCCCAATTTTTTTAAAACTCGGATGACGAAATTGACTTTACCGTTGGAATCGTCTCACGAAATCTAGTTATCCAGTCAAATTTCGTTGAATTCTAAGACAGTCAAATTTCGCGTTTTATAATATGATCGGGCATCTCATGACTAAAATAAACGCGATCGAATTTTAATTGCGAAATACAAAAAATAATTTAAAATTAGTTCAGATAAAATATTTTAAAGGACGTGAGGCGCAACGAGGGCCAAGTTCTATGGGGTACAAATAGGGAGAAAAATCAAAATCTTCTCCCCATTTACACCAGATTTTCCGATAGAGAGAGAAAGAAAGAAGAGAGAGAAACTCAAGGAAATCTCAAACTTCTTCTTGCGATCTAGGGCAAACCATTCGTCGAATCGCTTCGGGCCAATAACAAGAGTTTTCTATGCAACAAGAGCTACGTCTACGTACTTAAAATTGCGGATTTCACCGAAATCTCAAGAACAGAATTTTAGGAAATCAAGGTTTAAAGCCTGAGTTGGGTTTTTTGGAGCTTTTTCTACGTGTATTATGCTTCAAGAGGTAGGTTTCCTTTCCTAACTAGGTTTATTTCCAACCTAGAGTTGAAATATAAAATAGATAGAGTGTTAGAGATGTAATCTCATATTTGGCACATACCTATTGTAGTTGAAATGAGAAAAATGGGTATAAGAATGGTTAAAATTAATTATTGTATAAATTGAATTTTGGTGAAATTGTTCATTGAAATTTCAAGATGAATGTGTTGATCAGGCATGCTATGTGTTTACATTTATGCCTTAAAAGTTTTTGATAAAATACTTATGTTGATTAAGTATTTTATTTGCATTGAATATGTTATAACATACTTGGGATTGATGTTGTGAAATGTTATATATGCCTTATGATATATTCACATTGAAGACTTGAAAATATTGTGGAAATTAAATATTGTTCATAATATACTTATAATATATTGAACATGATATAAAATTGTAATTGTACATTATATTATATATGCACGGAAACTATCACATTCGTGGACATGTGAAATGGGTGTGGGTGTGTACATAGTTTTGATCAAACACAATTATTGGTGGATGATACGTGGAATCGGAAAAGTTGGACCAAGGTTCAACTGAGTCGCATGGGTTGCATTGAAAATAAGGGTTAGGATTAGCAAAAAGGGCTAAATTCTCACTCGGGTGCAAGACCTAGTGATTTGGATACGCACTCCATTGGTATTAAGTCCATAAAGTGTGTCAACATACGCAAAGCCATTAGTGGAAGTCTATAAATGCCGTGTCGGTTAGATACCCATTGGTGGAAGTCCATAAATATCCACCCCAAGAAGGACCCAGGATCTATAAATGGTCATTGAATGTGTAATATCAATGACGGGGACTTGGAATGTCTAGATACATATACATAGCATTGCATATGTTATAGGAGCCGGTGAAGGCTCGGGTTGTATTACATGTGTGAGTCTCACTTCATAACATGGGAAAGCATAATGACATTCATTTCTTGAAGTTGTATGTTCTTAAATGAATGTTTGTTTGATTGTTGAATTACATATGAACATTTCATATACATCTAGGTTGGGGAGTAGGCTCTTTAGAAAATATCCTATTGAGTGTGACTCACCCTTTATGGGGATATATATTTCAGGTGTTAGGACAAGCTCCGGCGGATGACCCTCATTTGGGGAAGTGTTGATAACCGAGCCAGGTTATGGCTCGTGAATCCATTTTGTAATCATTTTGTACTTTGTTTTGCCCTCATATAAATCATATATAAAACCTTATATTTTAACAAAGACATGTAATGAGATATTGTTCTTTTGTAAAAAGAATGAATGGAATGGGTATGGTATGTATTGGATGGCTAAAAGTTTAATTTGGGAAAGTTAAAAAAAAATCTGGGCACTAGGTACCGGTACCTCACATGTACTTGGCATCCAGAGAGCATATGTACCCATACCTAGGCTCACAGGTACCGATACCTCGACGGACAATGTGCTCAAGTACCGGTATCTAGGTTCACAACTACCGGTACCACGCTGACGAAAGCCCGGATACCAGTACCATGTTTTAAGTACCGGTATCAAGTATCGGTACCTCTTCACAAAAACTAAAATTTTGAAATATAACCTTGCCAAACCTTCACTTCTTGAGCCCTTTTGTTTAAAAAATGTAATTGGTTTAATTTTGACTATAAATTGACGGGGATTGGACTTTGAAATGGTCAAGTGCTTGATATGTATCCAGGTTATGCGTTTGAGAGTGCTCCAGTACAAGGAGACTCTATCCAAATTCTATGTTGGTTACGATACTGATGAAGGGGATGTGATAGCGTGGTGTCGAATTATGCAGCATTTATAGGTACTTTCGCAGATTGAAGGGTGATCAACTGGTTGATAAAAGACCCCAGTTTAGGGGCGTCACATCTTTGATGATCATTCTAATTAATTTCTTTAAAAAGCAAACCTAATAAAAGAATACCAAAAGAATCTATGAAAATATTCCTACCCAATTTCTTCCCTTCTTCACCTCAAACCAAAGGCTGATTTTGCATCTTAGAATACATTACCAATGAAATTACAAGGTGTCATACTATTCCAACTTCTAATGGCTAACCCCTTTCAGTTAAATTATTTATTCACTCAATTTAGATTTTCAAGGACAAAAAAGATACTAACATGAGTCCAAGACAAAGTTACAAAATTAATTTCATCATAAGCGTTCAAACTCTAAGACCATGTCCAAGATTTGAAATTTCATTTCAATGCTGCGTTTTGGCCACCTAGAAAATGAAAATGGTTCAGAAATGTTTCATAAACATTTCAAAAATATAATAATGATGGAGAAAATATTTAAAAATTTCTTTACAAAACATTGGTCAAAACATTTTAAAACACCTCAAAACTTTCTGAAATATCTCGAAACATAGAGGGCCAGATTGATTTGGTTTTTGAAAACAGTTTTTTTTATTCTCAAAATTCCAAAAACAAGGGAATGTTGTTTCATTAGGTCTTTTGTTCTCCAATTTTTTGAAAATTTTAGAATTAAGGTATAATTTTAAAGAACAACAAAATGGTGTTTTCATTGTTTTCTAAGAGAAAATGAAAACACAGGAAACAACCTATCTCCATATTAGTGAGGCCCCCCCTTCGAGTTTTTTTCGTTGGAGACAAAAAATGGAAACTGTTCATTCTTCTTCTCCACCGCTCTTACTGAGCGTGCTCTCTCTCTTCAACTTCTTCTCCACCGCTCTTAGTGATCTTCTCTCTCTCTCTCGCAACTATTGAAGCTTCAGATCTGTGTGCCTCTGTGTGAGTGTGTGTGTGTGTGTCTGTTTGTGTGTGCGTCTGTGTGTATGTGCGTCTGTGTGTTAGTCTGTGTTTATGTATGTGTGTGTATCTATGTCTGTGTCTGTGTGTGTTTTGTAGAGAAAGAGATAGGAATTGGGGTTTTGTGGATTATTGTTCAAACATATTTTATAATTTTTTATTCTTTAAAACTATTTTCGAAAACATATAACCAAACAGGTTTTGCAATCTAAAATTCTTAAAAACACACTTCCTTAAAACTCTTCTCAAAAACTATTTTTGAATACTATTTTTTAAAATGCAAACCAAACGTGCTCAGAAATTTCGAAATTCAATCAATGATTTGTTTTGCTTTTTATGGAAATAAAAATGTTTTGACTATTTTGAAAAGAAACTTGGATCGTTGGCCTCATCTATGGTCTCTGTATGCCTTAAAGAATGAAAATTAAGGATTTTCTACATCTAACTTGAAGATTGGATGAGCAATTAACAATCAAAGATAAATAATAGAAAAGAACCAAGTAATGGCAGTCACAACTTATTGTTCACCCCAACATCAAGTTCAAAGGTGTAACTAGATTTTCAAGAACTCACGAATGTCACCGGAATTAAATAGATCTAAAGAGTCTTAGTGCTCGTTTGGTTAGCGTTTTTGTTTCGTTTTTTTGTTTTTTTTTTTATTTTTTGAGAAAAAAACAAAAATAAAAACGAGTTTGGGTTTGTATTTTTGTTTTAGGGTTAATTGCACCGAAGGTCCTCAAAGTATATGATTTATCTTATTTTGGTCCCTAATAATTCAATTGTATTATTTTAGTTCCTAAAATATTGAATATATTTTTATGTGGTCCCTCAAGCAGATAACGTTCAGATTGCTAATGATTTTTGATCATGAACTTGTCACATGATACCTAAATATAAACAAGAAAGAATTTGGATAGCTCTTAACCAAAATTTTTATAGTTCTTGACAAAAAATATGTAATATGAGTAGTTTATGTTCAAAATTTAGATAGTTCATGATTAAAACTGTGTAATTTAGGTAATTCTTTGCCCAAATTTTGGGTAAACATTAGTCAAGTTTTATCTAAATTATTTTTTTACCCATATGTAGGTATCATGTGACAAGTTGATGTTATTCACCCCAACATCAAGTTCAAAGGTGCAACTAGATTTGCAAGAACT